CTCCCAGCTCTAGACTGCTGTATCCGCCTCTGCCTTGCAATCCTTTATTTGTCACCCAGCTCTGGGCTGCATGTCGCTTGCAATCCTTTACATTTGTCTCCCTCTGTGTCTACATTTGTCTCCCAGCTCTGGACTGCTGTGGCCGCCTCTGCCTTGCAATCCTTTGTCTCCCAGCTCTGGACGTCGCAAGCTCTAGTTGCAGAGTGTTCCGATTTTGAAAACACAAACTGTTTGGGGTCTACGGTGGTGTAATTTGATAATGACCCTTGCAGGCAATGTCTGCGTGGAGGCCTCTTGAGGAAAAGGCCTCTTACAACGCAGTTGAGGATTTTGCAGGCCTGGACTTACTGCGCTCGCTTGGTGGTGGGTAGTGCAACAAGCGTGTTGCTGGGAGATGGGTCCGGGATAGTGTGCTGCCGAAGAGTAGTTGTTACATGATGCCGGACTTTTTTCTATCACTAGAGGTCGCGAGCCGCCAAGCAACCTTGCTCCGACAGAAGGAGCTTCGGGATTGACCTTCAGAACAGCGTCCATGTTTAGCCTGAAGCCAATCATTTAAAGTTCTGTAGCTGACACATGTGTGTGACTTTTCATGGTTTTCAGGCTTGTTTGGCAGTCAGGGATTTGGAGCGACATGCTTGCTGACATGATGGTGTGCGTACTGCCAGCGAAGGTGCAACTGAGCCGGAGGCCATTGAAGAAGCAGGAGGCCAGCACTTGGACGGTTAAAACTGATTCTCGTACTCAAAGTTGGTGCCTCAAGATTGAAGGCGCGCCCAGTGGAGGCAGCTTAGGGCATCCACAGGCGAAGAGTAGAAGCCTCGTTTCCCAACTGTGACACTTGTGAAGATCACACTATGCAGGTGTGCAACCGCCCCTGTATTTACTTTGCGGCCGGAAATTGTGCGAGTGGCGCGGGTTGCAGCTATTGCCACGTAGAGCACACGGAACCTCGGCTTGAGACAAGGTCGTTGCTGCAGATTGGTGCAGCCTGGATTTGTTATCACTTGCGCAAGAGTCGCAGAGTGAGCTTTCAGCAAATCCAGGCTTGCTTGTTATTGCGCTGGTAGTTTGTTGGCCAGTCAGTCAGTGGGTTAGCTATTTTGTTAGTTATTTGGTTGTTTAGTTATATAGTGAGTGAGTGAGCGAGCGAGTGAGTCTGTCAGCCAGTCAGTGAGTTAGGCAGGTAGGCAGGCAGGTATTTAGTTAGTTAGTTAGTTCGTTACTTACTTACTTGCTTGCTTACTTACTTACTTACTTACTTACTTACTTACCTTCTTACCTTACTTACCTTACTTACCTTAGCCTTACTTACTTACCTACTTACCTACTTACCTTACTTTACTTTACTTTACTTTCTTTACTTACTTACTTACTGACTTACTTACTTACTTACTTACTTACTTACTTACTTACCGTACTTGCTTTACTTTACTTCACTTCACTTCACTTCACTTTACCTACCTACCTACTTACTTACTTACTTACTTACTTACTTACTTACTTGCCTACTTACTTACCTACTTACTTACTTACTTACTTACTTGATTTTCTTTGCCTAGTTCAGTTAGTTAGTTTAGTTAGTGAGTTAGTTAGTTAGTTAGTGAGTGAGCGAGTGAGCGAGTGAACTAGTTGGTTAGTTTTAAGTTAGCTTGTTAGTTAAGTTTGTAACATGGTTGGTTGGTTGGCTGGTTGGTTACCTGTTGGTTTGGCTATACATATAGATCGTTAAGTTATTTGGTTGGTTGGTTGGTTCCTTCGTTCCTTCGTTCGTTACTTAATTAAAAGTAGTTAGTCAGTCAGTCAGCCAGTTAGTCAGTTAGCCGTACGCCAAACAACCTAAGAAGCGATGAATACACACTTGTGGCCGGGCTACATTGCAAAGGTTCTGCATAGTACAACACAGGCCTTGTGCATGGAACCTTTAAGCGTCGGCAGGCTTTAGAAGAGGCCATGTAACTTGTACATTCTGTGCATTGGAGTTACAGTCTGCGCGCGAAATTGGGCACGTGATAACTAGTTGCTATATATGTGTATGTATTTATATATTAAGAGGATTCGCCTCGTGTTAAGATGCTCCTTACGGCCGGCTCCAAGGAGAAGACAGGCAAGTTGGACAAGCGACAGCGGCAGCTGCTTCAGGCATTGGCCTTGATTTTTGTGGCAAATCATTATCAGTTCAAGGGTGCAGTTGGGAGATTCAGGAGCTCAGCAAGGGACAAGTCATGGGCTTGATCTACAAGCCCTGCAAGGAAAGGGCAGAAGACGCTGGGAACTTGATGGAACGGGCGTCTTGAATGTGTTTGCTGTGCTGGGGAACTGAACAGTTCAACCCACCAGTGGACTCATTGTCACTCTGACTAGGCTGGTTTTCTGGACAAAGCTGCAGAAATCCTCAAGCTGGTGCAGGCAAGCCTCTTCGGCCACGCCATTTCGCGGACGAACGGTTGTCGTTGTCGTTGTCATTGTGGTTGTGGTTGTGGTCGCTGTTGTTGTTGTGGTTGTTATTGCTGTTGTTAGAAGCAAAAACGGCCGCCCAACATAATTGTCACATGTTGTAACTTTGGAACTTTAAGGGGGCAAGGTTACCAGGTTGGGGATACGGTTGAAGGTTTGAGCGAATGTTTGGTTTCGTAAGTAGGTGGACTTGTTGGACTTGTTTCACTGAAGGCTGGGCTGGTCCATTTTCAGTGTTTTTGAGGTGTTGTTCTGGAGGGGGGTTCCAAAAAACAACAACGGGGCTGCAGTCTTTGTTTCTAGGAGGGGTAGAGACAACAACACCTTTTGAGGGGGGATCCAAAACAATAACGCGGCTGCAGGTTTCTAGGGTGTGGTAGAGGTTTTAAGTATATAGAAGTTTTACAGAGCTTTAGCTGAACGGTTACTACTACGACGACGACTGCGACTACAGCAGCGACTACTACTAATACTACTGCTACTACTACTAACTACTACGAACTACTACTAACTACTACTAACTGCTGCTAACTACTACTAACTACTACTAACTACTACTAACTACAAACTACTACTAACTACAACTACTACTAACTACTAACTACTAACTACTAGATACTAACTACTAACTACTAACTACTAACTACTAACTACTACCTACTACTACTACTACTCCTACTACTACTACTACTACTAACAACAACAACAACTACTACTACTACTACGACGGGTAGAAGTAATTTTTTGGCCGGTTGTTTTCGACGGTATGTTGTAAAGCGGCTGCAGTTTTTGTATCTACCTTGTTGTTGTTGTTGTTGTTGTTGTTGTTGTTGTTGTTGTTTTGTTTGACTTCTGCTTTTGCTTTCGTTTCTGCTTCCGCTTTTGATTTTGCTTCTTCTTTTGCTTCCGCCTCTGCTTGATTAGTAGGGAAGAAAGTCCAATGAGCCCCCAAAGAAGTGAAACATCAAGCCAAGCCGGCCAAGCCTAAAGAAACCTAAAGGAAGCAAAACCCAAAACCAAACCCCACAAAGCCCTAGAAAAGTGATGGTTTTTGTTGCATGCTTGCACTTGCTCTATCCTGACTTTTGGTATTGGGTTGTTATCATTCTTGCTCCCCTTTCATGGCTTCTTGCCATATCCGGTATATAGTCGCTGGGCACAAGCCTTTGTGAGCCACCCGGGGGTAAAATTTAGAGGAGAAGGAGTCATTGCAAGGTAGCAAACCTTTTTTGCGCCACCCGAGGGCAAAATTTAGAGGAGGAAGGTGCCATTCCAAGGCCTTCCAACGTAGCAGACTTTTTGTGAGCCACCCGAGGGCAAAATTTGGAGGAGGAATGTGCGACGCTAGGGTAAAATTTCGAGGGGGAAGATGCCATTCCAACGTAGCACACCTCTTGTGAGTCACCCGAGGGCAAAATTTAGAGGAGGAAGGTGGGGAACTCCAACGTAGCAGACCATTTGTGAGCCCCATGTAGCGATGAGGATGATGATGATTGGCACGATGAAGTGGCAGCGGGTATGCTAGACAGTGGTGTGCTGGAAATATTCCGCTGCGCTGAACACATTTTGGCAGATCCCCGTGCAGACAAGGAAAACCAGTGGCCCGTGTCCGTACACGGTTGCAATCTGTGTCCGTGAAAGGTCTACGTTCGTACATGATTAGAAGTCAGCGTTCGCAAGTGATGGGCATCCCGGCACTAACTCAACGCGCTTCTGGGCCTCTGGAAGCTAAAGTAAGATGAGCCTAGTCTCCCTGAAGCACCGTTTGTGGCTTGGTAGTTGCATGGTAATTTAGAACCTACTTGTTTCTAAGCGTCCAGAAAATTACCATAAAAAGAACACGAAACAAATTCACCGAAAATATACCTACCTGCGGAAAACAGGTGAGTGTGAAATGGCATCCATTTGTGCCTTTGCTAGCAGGATGGTTCAACGCCTATCAGTTTTGGAGTGCCTTGGCGTTGCATTGTGCCGGCAAGGGCCCGTGTTTGGCAATGTGTGCCACAGTCACGAAAGGTAGCCTCAGGCTACCTGAGTTCTCCTTGCTTTAGCGAACATGTATTGTAAGCAGGACTTTGCCATTTGCCTAAGAGTTTGGTGCTGTAAGAAGGGATTCTGTTCGACAGGGCGGGGGCCCTGCATCAAGTCCTCCCTGCGCCGTCGCTGTTTGGGTCACATCCATCCACCTTTGATGCCGTCATGGGCGAAGCGCTGCTCTTTGAAAGCATCGTGGTGAATGGTAAGGCACGGGGAGAGGCGGCGGACGGTCCGATAGATGCCCCAGATACCAGGAACTGCATCCGGCCAGTGATGGGGTCTTCATTTTTGGTCCCAAAGCTGATGTCAATACCGCCCCCGGCTGTCCGGTCGCACGCCGAGACACGCGCATGACGCACGCGTTGACAGGGTGTGGACGACTATGAACGCACCCAACTCACTGCCTGGAGCCATACTGCACGAGCACAAGCAGTGCGCCCTGCACGTGCTAGCTACGGTGGTTTGGGGGGGGGGCCTTTGATTGATTGATCTCTGTGTGAACCGGTATTTTTCTGCGTATGAGGCTGTCCGTTTGTCAAGCCAAGCACGTGAGCACGCGTTGGAAGACTGTGTTTGCCGAGGCAGTGTCTTGAGGTTGGTGGGTGCTTCTTTTTCCAATCAAATTTGCGACCCCCGGGAAAATTGCTGAGGTGAAGACTCCCATTCGGCCAAGATCTCTAAGAAAGTTTACAGTGTACGTTGAGAGGGTTGCATCAACAAAAGAAAGTTTATGTATAGTAAGTATAAAGCTTCCAATATTTGCAAGGCAAAACGGTCCCAAACTGATGATATCGAATGTTTTCTACCAAGATGCGGCACCCTATTGTCTGATATGTCAGACTTCAGGACTACTGTACTTATTCTTTTTTACATGTTATTTTTTCTACATGTTATCACTTGGCGCCGAAGCACAACTTCCAACCACGTTAGCTGTGGGTTAGTCATCGCGTTTGCCTGCTCTACTAGATAGTCCATTGAGAAGCTGATCAGTCAAGACACTGCTCCATCGAAGCACGACAAAAATAGGCCCGCGAATGATCTAGTATCTATACCAGAACTCTCCCACCAGTGATGCTAATGGTGCCGCCTGCATCCGGCCACATCATTAGCATTTTGCTTTCAAAACATATATATATATATATTAAATAGAGCTGTTTTTTCGACCCTTTTACCACCTCTTCTTCCAGCGTCGTTTGCGCTCAGCGCAGTGCCTATGACCAAGGTGGTGTGGGCAACAACTGCTGCAACTCTTGGGGGAGGAGGCCAGACGCGAACTTCGGAGGATTCGGGGAACTGCCCCAATAGAGGACTTCACATCCTCCAGTAATGTTGAACGCTCACACTGTTCATACTCCAACCAGATCGTGTTCGGGCATAAAGGTGAAAGTCAGCCACTGTCAACGTACATATCCTCTGTTCCGTTCGGAACATAGCGAGAAAGTATGCCAGAATGATCCAGAATGAACTTTGCATGGAAGGGCACGCGGCAGAATTCAGACATATCCAGTTATAGGGCTGGCCAAATGCGATGCAATGAACTTCTGGAAATCAACCAAAGTTGCCTCTCATGTTGTTATCCTTTTTCCAGCAAGCAAATGCGAAAAAAATATCCTCCAACCAAGGTGGGAGCCTTTGGGGTGCTAGCGCCTATGCCGAAGCCACAGGCATGTCGCGGGGCAGAGGGGCTTCCTTTAATTAATAGCTGACGGTACGAAGATCAGCTGGAAAGCCAGCCACTGTCGATGACATGTCCTCTGTTCCGTTTGAAGCATGGAGAGAAAGTATACTAGAATCGATGCAAAGCATTCTCTGAGATCTGCAGGCTTGATTCAGATGCATATTAAGCATGTGTGGAGGGGTCTGTGACAGAATCCAAAGCATATCTCATATCAAAGCTGGCCATTGGCGATCAGAGTGCTATGAAATGCTCTGATTTTATTGAAATCAACCAAAGTTGCCTCTCATGTTGTTATCCTTTCTCCTGCAAGGAAAAGCGATTAAACTGCCCTGCAACTAACACATGCTCAGTGATGCTTTCAGTTCTATCATGCGCTCCGTCGTTGCCACATATCGGGGCCGCCAGTATCCTCTTCAGATTCCTGCGAGCCGACTGGAAGAGCATGCTGCCGAGCATGCTGCTTTCCAATCGCGGCCAACTTTTGCAGACGGTGCCTTTACACACGGCCAGTTTGCAGAGATCATGTCTTCCATGCAATGCGTCTTTGGTACAAGTGTGCCGGCCGATGCAAGCAGCGTGATCCGCACTCGCCGTGCTTACGGCTCCAAGTTTGTTTCTTTCCATCTCCCTGTTCTCGCCTTTCTTTCATTGCACTGTTGTGATTGAGGAAGGTCTTTCTGGGTGAAGATGCGCGGCAGAGGCAATTGTCCTTTGAAGAGTTGCGCACTCGCTGTCGCTCAATTGTGTGCCCTGCTCATCATACACTCCCGCCGTCTACACTTGGGGCCAACTCTGGATGCTTCCATCCAGTTCCCACGACCTTTTTTCTGCATGGTCTGCGCTTGCTGCCCGTTTGTGTGCTGCGCACTGTGTGGTTTCTGCGTCGGCTTCGAAGGCGAGTTTTCGTCACATTTAGGATATGTGTACTGGGACCATTGTGCCCACTCAACCAACCACACTTATATTTTGTCGGGCATTTGGGCAGCAGCTGTCTCACAGTTCCGACTGAAGATGCGGCAGCTGTTTTCACAGATTAGTATTCCAACTGCACTTGGTTATGGTTCACAAACTTGGACATACAGTAGCCTTGTTCCCGGAGCCTGGGGGCCCTGTGCATATGCGTCGGGTGCTGCAGCAGATCGTGTTGCATGTGGGTCGCCAGAGGCACGTGCAAAGTTTTGGCGCCGGCTTTGTGAGTGGACTGGTGGCAACCATGAGACTTGGAATGCTCATCTTGGGCTCCATGGTGGGGCTGTTGCGTATCGTCAGACCGTCAGGCTTTGCTTGCTGCAAGTGGATGTGACTAGCCGCTAGTCGTGGATCCAAAGTGAGATGCGCCACTGTTGGAGTAGCTGCACAGATCGTTTTCATGCTACTTTGGCTTCTCCTGCACGACTGTGCGCATGTTGCGCATGTGAGCCCTTGTGATCTGCGGGCTGGTGTCTTCGATCTTTCTTCCTTACACAAGCTTCTTTCAGCCCAGCCGCGGCTTCGTTCACTCGATACTGAATGTTCGGTTGAGTTTCTGGCTTACCCCTGGAAATCCTGACCACTTATGGAGTTGCGGTGCCACATGTGTTGTTGCCTGATTTGAACGTTTTCCCTGCCTCCAATGATAGATGGCTCTTGCATTTGGCAGCAGAAGCTCGTGTGCAACGGAATGTTGCGGTAGCCTTGCCAGGAAGTGCTTTGTATCTTGATCTTTGTTCCTCCTGTTTCGCTTCTCTGACACGACAACCACCACGCTTACCATCACAAGGTCTTGCAAATGGCAATCTATGTCCACCACTCCCGGCCTCCTTGCAGATTGCGGAATTTGACGTTTGCTGAGAGACTCCTGATCTCTCGTGGCTTCACTTTTCATCGTTTGCACACTTTGCCTGGACGAAGTGCTCCTGAAGACAGACAACGCGCACTCCGTGGCAACGTCATGAGACCTCTCTCGAGCCCAGACGGGTGTGCCTGACAGGGATGCAAATGATTAGCAACCCTCGGTGTAAACACCACTTATAGTATTGGAGGGTCATTGCATCAATCCAGGCTTCGAGTTCAGTTTTTTTCTTTTTTTTGCGACAGTTTCGCGGCCTCGCCAGATCCCAGTAGCAGTAGCAGCTCACATCCTCATTCTCACCCAACATCCCCTTGACTCTACTCTTTTTTTTTTGGTAGCCTTCAAGACCAGAAAGGAACAGTCGGTGTACCTGGGGGAAACTACAATTCAAGATTTGGCACCCTGCCTTGCCTCCGAAACCCACGTGTGATTGGGAATCCACATGGCCTATGCCACCAATCCCGACTGTCCACCCACACCCTTCTAGGCAAAACCGGCGGAACTCAGCTGCAGCTGCCAAGCAGAACCATCCAGGACCTTTTGCGGCCCTGAGCCACAGATGTGTCGGTTGGCCTGTGCTCTGGCTCGTCATCCGCCTTTTCTTTCCCACACTTCTTGCCACAGCTGCTTGCTCATGTTCCATCCGCCTTCCTCCCTACCGCCCTGCACGCACAACCATGCTCTTGCCCAGCCGACGCCGCCACGCAAGAAGTGCATCTTCGCAACTGCCTCCGCGACTCCTTGGCTCGCGCCTGTCTCCCGGAACACTTGGCAACAAGCTTACGCCTCTTTCGCTTGGAGGTTTGGTGCCCCTCCATCTGCCACTGTGCCCACATGGCGACTTGCTATGCAGGATCACTTTGGCTCCAATGGGGCTTGCCAGTGTCAGGAAGCCCCTGCCGATTGGGTATGGTGCACCAGAGGGGCGCAGCTCTCCTGCTGCCTTACTTTTTATCTCATATTGCAACGACCTCTCCCATGGAAGGTCTGGGAACAACTGTATACTTACTGCCCTGTGCCGACGCTTGCGACGCTTGCGCCTTCCCCAAGGCTCCGCACCTTCGGGTCAGTTTCTTTGCCTTCAGCTGAGCCACGTGCCTTGCCGCCGCCCGCGTTTGGCGCACCTGCCTTGCGGCCCTGCATCGCCCTGCTCCACAGCCCAGAGTGCAACGACGACCTTGCCAAAATGGCCGTCGCCTGCACGCCATCCTGGCACAGCTTCGAGATGCCCTCTAGTTGCTACGCCCAGGCGAACAACTCAGTCATCGACAGCTCCAACACCTGCAAACTCTCGCTCTTCGTGCCCTCTGTTGTCTCCGCCAGTGCAGCCACGTCCCCATGCCCACCAACAGCCTCCGAGACTTGTAGCCCATGGGCCCAGTCCACAACTCAGCTTTGTTTCACAGCTCCGACTAGCCTGCTGCCTCCGCTGTGTCGAAAACCTTTTGGAACTGCCTTTCTCATCCTAGCATCCTTTGACAACTGGATGAGACAAACCCTTCATGGATGTTTTTGCCGGGGTTCACATGTTTCTATACAGCCCCATATGCTTGCCAACATCACACATTGAACACGGAGACCTCTTTTAGTCCCACTTCCCCATGTGTACTTTCTCTACACTCCACACTACACCTTCCCCCCGCTGAGGTCGGCATGCGTGCCCTGTGGTCCGCTGCTACCGCTCATGCGCCCGACCGCTTTACGCGGTCACAGAAAAGGCTGCCCGCACCATCTCGGACCACGTTCCATGGACTTCTACCGTTACCTTGTGATTGCTTGCTACCTTTTGTTCACCCCCTCCTCTCTCAAGTTTGTGTATCGGGGGGTGGCTAGGCGTCAAAGCAATCACCATGACCATTACAAGTCCAGGGCATGGATAAACATGTGCTGTGCAGATCTCAAGCCTTGTAACCTCGACATTGTGTTTATTTCTTGCCATCCGTGAGAGCGAGAACAGCTTGCAACCTCCATTTGTTTCCTCGTTTGGCTGTCAACAACCCTCCTCAAACAGAGGCATCTCTGTGCTTCCCCACTTGCCTAGCCCAGGATAGGAGGTTGCTGAAGCCCTTGCAGAAGTTCAGCTTTGGGTGCATGATACGTTTCTAGGCGGCATTCATTGGGCTCTTCCTTTGCAACACGAGGTTGCTACCAGCTCAGCCCCGCGTGCTTTTTGATAGAATGAAATAAGATGTGAAAGCCTGAACGTGGTCTACTTTCTACATCGCTCAATTGTTCTTGCCCCTCCCTTTAACCTCAGTTTGGCGTCCTTCCTTGCCCTGTATGCGTCTGAAGCTTCCAGTCGTCCAATCTGAGAAGGCAAATCGTGAATTGATCAGAGGAGCGCTGATGAAACCTTTTGCACCCACCGCTGTGCTTCGGTGGTTGGCCTTGTGCCATGGCGAACCCCGGCACATTTGCCACGAGGCCTAGTCAGCAAGCGTGATGCTCAGCTAAGTGATGCTTTGGAGAGGCAGCGGGCGGGCAAAGGCTGTGGTTTGCATTAGTTTCCCGTGCGTAGACTTTTGCCAATATTTTTTCTCAATGTTTCCTTCAGATTCGTTCTACACCTTCCCCGTCCTCCAAATTGTTTGGGCAGGCTTCGTGAGTCCTTGGGCTAGGCCGGCATTCGCGGCCATTGAGTTGTTCCAACGAAGAGTGAAGAGGGAGGATAACGGCAAATGGGTCTGTCTGGTGTGCGCCGATAAAACTCTCAAACACAGGCTTCAGACCAAAAGATGCCGAGCTTAAGACCAACAGATTCTCCATTTTGTTCTGCAAGATTGTTTTCTTGACCTTTCTCGTTGTAATTGCCTTTTGGGTTCCGGTGGTTGGCTGCAGGTGGCACTACACTGGCTTCAGGGGAAGAATCTGCCCATTTGACTCGGCTCCAGTCGACGAGTGAATTTGCAGGACCTGGTCACAAGAAAGAACTAGGACCTACAGACTTGCGCGAGAAGTGCATTTCAAGCTTCGTTGATCTCGGCTCACGGTGGCTCACGGTTGTCGAAGAGCTGAGCCCAGAATTGTTTGAAAAATGGGGCTCAGAGAGGCGGCGACCGTGCCTAGCCTTGCGAGCTCACCTTCCAGGGCGAAGACCGAAAATAGAAGTTGCAAGTGAAGCAATTATATAATGAAGTTCATGTTAAGTTAATGCTTTTTTTGGGTCACAAGTGATTTAAACTTGAATTCGTAGTTCTGAAAGCGCACAGGCCTGGGGGTGGTGAGTGCGTAGATGCTGTCATCAACACATCTGCTCCTCGGAGTAGAAATCATTGTGCTCAACATTTTTTAATCTGCGGCCCAGAAATTGCGGACAATTAGCTATTGTTGGAGAAGCCAGTGAAGCCCTAGGACCTGTCACTCATGACAACCCTCAACGACCCTCCGTCGCAGGGTCGGTGAAGTTTTAGATTGCTTCGTTTGCAGACTCCAGAGTATCAACTGCTTGGACAGAGGGTTCCTAGAGCTTGGTGTTTCTCTGAATTTCTCTATCTTGGCACGTGACTAATGAGCTAGAGGCGAATGATATCAAGCTCCATGTGCCCATGACACTGAGAAAGTTCTGGAACACCGACGGTTGCTTGTACCATTCAACCCGTGCCAATCTGCCGCATCTTAATACTTGGTTCGTTGCATGGTTCTTCCGGTTATATTTTCTTTAAGAATTCGTGAGGCTCAAACCGGACCGCCTCATACGTCCAGCATAGTACCCCACGGCTTTGGACTATGTCTATGTAGTGATGACTAAGAGACAGCATCACTGCAGATTTACTGTAATCAGCAAAGACAGGAAGACATCTTCTCAGCGGTGCGTTTCTCACTGAGTCCACTCGTATCTTTGCCACGGGAAGAAGCCGGAGCCTTTGTTTTGCTTGAGATGCCTTTGCTTTGGCTGCCCCCGATGTTGGTAGCTGGGGACGTGACCACAAAGGTAACAGCTGTCGGCTGTCGGTCATGATTGGCGCTTGGAAACTGTTTCTCAGAATCTAGAATCTAGATGTCCAGTATCGTTTTGTTTCGGAAGACGGCACGCCGGTGCTTGTTTCACTCTTCATGGCGGGTCTTGCTGCTTTAAGTCCAAATTCTTCATCCAGCTTCGAAAGGAAAAGGAAGGCACGCTGGTTCCAGGCCTATGTTCGCCCTTGGGGTTCGCCTGCCTTGTAGTTTCTGGGTTTTGATAGGTTGCCTGGTGCATTTGTAGCGTTCTTGACGTTTTCCAGTTTTCAGTCAGTTTTGTAGCTGTTATTTTTTTGGTGTGTTTTCTGTGATGCTGGCGCGGCTGGTTCGTGAATTTCTGAATTATACAGTATACAATTTGCTTTGGGAACTATGGCGTGGTGTGGTGTGGGGTAGGACGGTAGGATTGATGAAGATGCAGACGGCGAGTCATGGGATGATTGATGTTCGTCGTGGAGCGCAGATGCTGAATATGGTTCGTTGGGATTTGCTGACGTGGGATGGATGGGTGGGACCCCCGAAGAGCTCATGTGTTTGGGACACGGAAACATGGTTTTTCCAAGATGGTCCACTGGGATATTTCACACCACCTCATCAAGTCCGCCTGAGATCGAACTACACCTCTTTGCCAAAACATGTTTTGGGAGATGGAATGGTTCTTGTTATTCTTGCGGTCAGAAAAACAACTACGGCAGCTGGCTGCGGTTTCTGAGCAGATCGGAGAAGCCTTCCGTTGGGAAAACCCATCCGTTTTCGGCCATTGTGCCTTCATCACGCCCCCAGTTGTCGCTCTTGAACCGGCTTGGAAACTGGGCATCACGGCCCTGGGATGCACTGGAATCACTGACGGCGCCTCAGCTGTGGCCCAAAATCGCCAATTTGGCCAAAGGATGGCGCCTTTCCACGAAGCCTTGGCCACGCAGGCACTTTCTCCATGCGTCTAGTTGCGTCTGAGCACATACACGACACACACATGTGTCTACATTTGTATCTATATCTATATATATATATGTATGTGTGTGTCTATATGTGCTACAAATCCAGGTGTTCACCATGTATGTGCTACAAATCCAGGTGTTCACCATGTCTGAGTGGTGTTACCGTGGGACAAAAACCAACTGAGAAGTCAATTCTCTTAAGCCCAGCTGACCTGCATTGACCTGCTTGAGGTTGAGACCTTGAAACAAAGCCTTGCTCATGAGCACGAAATTGCCTTAGACATTCTGCGTGAGCAGAATGCGGTTCTCCGGGCCAAAGTGGAACCTCTTCTGCAATGAGTGTGTGGGGGGTGTTCTTCGCATCCCCAAGTGACAGTTTTGATCGACAGCAACCCCACACCCTCTCTGCAAAGGATGCTCAGAATCACGAATACAAGCAGCCCGAAGCTCAGAGTGCGGCAATTTTGGAGCTTCGTGGAGCATTCTTTGCATCCTCAAGGCTCCTGCTAAAATGCCAGCAGCTTCAGCCTGTGGACTTTGTACCAGCTGAACGTGAAGCATTATGTCCTGTCCTTACTCGGAAGACTGCTCAGCATAGATTGCCAAGTCCCTAGCGAAGACTAGTGACTGGTCCTTGACTTCTTGACATCGGAGATCAGAAGTGATTTCTGAGGTGAATTTGCCAGACAGGCCGGTTCTTTCAATTGCCACATCGCTCATCAGTGCACTTTGCCAGGAATCTGGAAGTGTGCCCCAAAATCAGCTGGCCGCGCAATCGGGTGACTTGGCTGCAACCACCCCCGTGCGTGAGGCCGGCGGCCGGAGTTGTTTTCCTCCCAAATGCATGCCTCGCACTGCATGAATCTCTTTTCTTTGCACGGGAGAAGAGCTTACCACTGTTGAAGATGGACACGCGCATGCAATGCCCTTGCAAGAGAATGATTGCAGGCACAGAAACAAAAACCACGCGATCAATGATCTCGGCAATTACGACGGCAAGCGTTGCATGAGGCTTGTAGCAACATGCTTTCGAGCCCAGGATTGACCAGTTCTGACACTGATGGTGCGTGCCAAGCTTTGGTCTTTCGTCCAGGTCACCGGTGGGAGACTGGGCAGCATAAAGGTTTCAGCTCTGGTTCCTGTTGCAACGAAACCTTTCTTTTCATCCGATTTCTTGGCTTTGTGCACTTGGGCCTTAGGCTAGTCTAGTTGAGCAAGCACTCTTGAATGAAGCGCGATTAGAAGAGGCTGGTTGAGAAAGTCAGGCCTGATCTCAGTCCTTTCTCATTTTCGCTCCTGTGTTCAGGCAAGGATGCTGGATGAATTCTTTTCAATGAGTTGCTTGGCGACGAGGATTGTGTGGAATAAGAAGAGAGCCTCCCGAAAAGGTACAATTGCAGAGGTGCAAGAGGCACACTGCACCCGACAGACATCAGGATTTCGAGGTTTTGTGCGCAGGTTGAAGGGTGACATCGCATGCCGTCATGCTGTTTAGTTTTGTATGGACGGAGTGACCATTTTGTTCCATTGAGTTGCGCGAGCTTCCGCAGTGTAAAGCATCCTCGCAGCATCCATGATGCATTCCTGTGGCCTTTCCAGCTTCACAACTCAGGAATGCATGGTACTTTGGCTGAATCAAATACGCTGCGCAATATATATAGTTTAGGCGGACAGCTGCAACACGGTGTTGCCGGATGAGTGACAGTTCAAGAAGAGGAGGGGCAACATTGAACAGCCGTGTGCTGCATTTAGCACAAAAAGTACGAAGACGCCACATTGTAAGGTGCCTGGCGAACATCCCTTTCCACCGCGAAGAAGAGCAGGGCGTCAATTGTTGCCCCTGCAGAGGCCTTCCGATGCCTTCCTGGAGTTTTTGCATTGTTCTCATCGTTCTCCTCACGAGGTGCCCAGGTCAAGCGTCAAACACCACCTTGGAGCCTCGTCTCAACGGTTCGGCTCGTCCCAAATCGGCTTGCCGGAAGTGTAACATGAGGTGCTGAAATTACTGACGACTACCACGAGCGGCTTTTTGGCAGCACAAGCTTCATGACATCCAATCACTTTTTCTGAAATCTTTTGGCATTTCAATCTTGTTTTGCAACTCCCTTTGAGGTGGCAGAAGATGATACTTTCTCCAGCAAGCCATGGACTGAAACGATCCGGGGTTCAGTTGGCTTAGTTCTTGTTTCCTGGGTAGTTTTTGAGGTAACTTGCGCTTGGGGTGGCTCATCCTCGGCATGTTCTTCATTTTTGTAGACCCTGAGCTGCAGATGTTCATCACCCTGATTCACTGATGCCACACGTTGCCGTTTGGGCTTCTTGCCAGCTAGGATATCCTGGTCATTCCCTTATCCATCTTCGATATTGGTGACCATCCCTTCTTCAAGGCGCCAAATGAGACCGCGCTTGTGCGGAGAATGTGTGGCCGCGTTTGTGTGCCCTGGTAGGTTCAGCAATTGGTGAGCTGGCTCTTTTGGCTATGTGATGTTTTCGTGTCCTTCTTGAGCGGCTTTGACCGGATTCTCATCCAACATTTATATACACCTCCTGTGACAGTGTGGCCAGAGCCAAGCACACTCGAACTCCTTGTTAAGGAATGGCCGGATCGAGATGCGCCCGATTGTCATTGCGAGAAAGTACTTGAAAACGATGTTTCCGATTGCAGCTTGCCTGGCCTTGGTTTTGGGGTCAACCTGAGTCAGTCAGCGCCAGTCTGTTCCACTTTGCACGATGCTTCCAGGATGTCTTTATCCTGTCGAGTCTTGGCGCAGAATTCGTTGGAGACACTTAGAGACGTTTTCCTTCTTCTCAGGCCACCTTGGCTTGAGAATGTTGTTGTACTTGGAGAGCCAGCGCCGCTAAGGATTGATGTGGTAATGTTCGCCTTGGATGCCTCACTTGGATCAGAAGCCGGCGCATTGAGAACGACCCGGATCATCCGATCTTTGTCGCTTGGATGCAGCAGCCTTTGTCAAAAGATGCAGCTTGGATGTCGTGTCCGACACTTTTGGTTTCTGGCTTCGCAGGAGACTATTGAGATTGCTGAGGCTGGAGCAAGTAGAACTGGAGAACATGGACCACAGGTGTTGAACAACTTTGGGCTGAGCAAGGGTCAGGTTGCCATCCAGCATCATGCCGTAGCATCAGGCATTGATGTAAATTGTGGCTGGCATAGTTGCCTGCAAGGTTGCTCCGCGTTGGCAAGCTCAGGGCCATTCTCAAAGTGACTCGGTGCATTGACATTCAGAATCATTTAGACATAATGTTTTTACCGTCAGAAGTTTGTGTCCTAGGCATGTGAGAAGCGCAACTTGGGTGCAACAAGCGGGCCTCTTTGAAGGTCATTATGTTGTAGAGGAGGTCTGTAGGGAAGGCGATTGCGCAATTGCTGGAGTCGTGACTGCTCCTTTGTCACGGGTATCCAGCCCTTTCCAAAAATGGCACAGGCTTGGGTGAATTGCAGGGGATTCGCACATAGTCTCAGCGAGGATTACGCAACCCGTACTCTGTTCTGCTGCTGAAGTTATCGTCTGCCTTGGCAACAGTTCTGAGCCTTGGATAGCACTTGGAGATACAAGGTTTTCTAGGATGTTGCATAGATTTGTTTGATGTTCAGAACCTTCTGACAACCCTCGTGCCCTCGTTCCTACAGATTGATCAACCACTTCATTGCTTGCGGCTGGTACTACGTTGGACTGGAAGGCATGTTGGCAGAATCATGAAGCCGCAGTTGCAACTGCATCGGCAAGTGCAACTGCTGTGCCGAGGCCACCCCGATCGAAACTGGATTCTGCTGTCTGATCTTGAGGGTTTTCCATTTGCAGAAGAGCCAGCCTCAGATGCCTCGCCCGCCCCAAAGAACCTTAGAGATCGCATCTGGACATGTTTAAGATACGTTGAGTTGTTGGAGTATCTTTGTGACAAATTCCGGTCTCTTTTGGTCTGAGGTGTACATCAGCGCGATGCATTGGAGTCTGACCCAGTTCATGCCAGCCACCAACAACATTGGTTTGGCACCTGACAAACAGCCCAAGTTGAAACATGTGCAATTCGCGAAGAACAGAAGCGCGCCACGTCACCAGAGGTCCAGACAATGTGTGGGAACGATTGTTTGCTATCATGACAGCGTGGAGCTCAGCCTTCCTTTTTCCTCTTCGGGCATCTAACCATCTATATAGATCACAATATACAGACAGGATCAACAACAAAACAATATGTATATATAACATGATATCAGGATCAACACTGCTTAAAAAAATAAAAGTAGGTCTCCTAGTTCATTGGTCCCCTGGTCCTTTTCCTGCTCTGCTGGCCTCATGGTCCATTGGTCAAAAAGCGCGAGATTTTGCGAAACTCATCAACTTTTCTGAATTTGGCGTGAACTCTGCGAAACACAGAGCTCATTTTTCTTGCTATTATGGAAGAGGGTGCCGTGCTCTCCCACTGGTCGATGATGATCTATTTTCTGGCGCCTTCGGAGTCTGGTGGCTTTTGACACCGGGGAGAGCCGCTGCGCCCTCCACCTCAACTGCCCTTCAGCGCCACGAAATTTGCACAACTTTTGACAATGCATTGAGCCTGCCACAAGAACACAGTTTTTAAAGGTCACCCATCGCATCTCCACACCAAATACTGCATGCCCTCGTCTAAGTCTCATCGGTTAAGTGTTGCAACCATCCTTTCATTGTCCTTTGGTGGATGATAGGGACCACCTTTGCTGGCCCAACATTTCTATCCGTTCGTTCTCTTTTGTTTTTCTTTGTTCGTTCTCTCCCTTTACCAAAACTATTGAAAAGCCCACCATCCATAATCCACGACTCTCGAACCATCCATAAACCGTTTCACTGGGAAAGTTGATTGATCCTTTGTATATATATATACTTTTCCTTTTTGATCACCATCGAGCATTTTTATTGATGCTATTGGTATTTTTATTGATCCCTCACCTCCTACCGCTTGGGCCAGAAGAGGAGATGCTTTTGCACCAGGAGATGGGTGGATCACGGTGGATCCATGGTTTCTGAGCTTGGCTGCCTCCTAGGTCCTTGTGGCCGTGTGCTTGTTCTCATCCCTGGTGGGCTCGATTACTGCTGCTGTGGGATCCTTCCGCGCAGCAGCTTTGGCATGCTTGAGCGGTTTTGAACCAACAGCCGTAAATGCACCACGTTCCACCACTGCACCTTATGGATCCTCAAAACATGTTGGTGTCTTTGATTCAACTTCGATTTCCGCTGCACCAAGTGGTGTTCACCTGGGGCACCTGAAGCCCTGAGGTGCAGGCGGAAAAGATGAAGCAGGAGCAAGCCGTGGTGGCCTTCTTCGAGGAGAGGAAACTCTCGGCAGAGCTCTTCGATGATATGCGGGAGCACCAAAGAGAAAGCCAGAAAGGACATGCTGTGGGGATTACTTGTGGTCTAGGGGCACAGCTGTGTAAATTTGCTTTCTTTGCTTCTTGTATGTGTTTAGTGTCCTCCAATGCGAGCGCTCAACCTGTTTTGGATGCAAGGAAAAGAGGCAGTTGCAGATGTCACTACCAAAATGCTGTGCCCTTAGGAGATGTTTTGTCAACTATGATTTGAGCGGATTGTTCTTGTCCACGCCCCAACACCCACCCTTGAGCTTGTGATTGTGAGGTCAGACATCCGGCTCTTCCGCGAGTGCCCAGAGTGTTTGGGCACGCATCAACCACCTTTTGGTCAGGGTGATGATTTTAGATTACTGTACCACGTGGTGTTTTTAAGCATTTTGGTTTCAGGTCACTGAAGCTTCGACTCTCAGAAGAAGTCTTCATGCCCGCCGTGCTCTTGTTTGATGTGCTCATGAAATGCCCAATCTTCTTCTTCTTCTTCTAACCCCAGTTTGTCTTGATGCAGCGCACCTGAGGCTTTCGACAGCCCGGGATGGGTTCAAACTGATATCCTGACGACCGGCTTCTTGTACAAGGACTCGCTGGGTACATGCATTTTTCCTCCCCTTCTTCTCCCCCCCCCCCCCACAGAAGGGAGTGAACAGTGCTGCCAAGTCCTATTGACTTTATATACGTAAAACCGACATTAATTAACCGGTGCCAGGTCTGCCATACCATGCGCGAGCAGGTGGAGACACCTGGAAAGGACCGTGGAAAAACCAGGGATGATCCGTTCTTTCTCTTCCCCTGAATGTGGCGAGCAAAGTGCGCAGAAAAAGAAGCCATGGACAAAAACATGGAACACTCATGGAACACCAATTGGCATGGAACATGAGCTGCACGGGAACAGGATGAGAAGGAACGTATAGGAACGTGCAGGTTTGTGATGTTTCCAGAAGTCAGGACGTGTTTCTGCCGGATCAGATGGCATCTTTGGCGTTCTTCGTGGCCTCCGGCACCCTGAGCTTCGCCGCTGGGACGGATTTGGATTTCGGAGCATTTCCGGCATGGGTGGGGGCAGCCGGGTCGAGGCCGAGTCACAGGGCACACTGCAGAAGAGGAGAGCTTCGTTCTACATGACATGGTTTTTATAATGGGCACTGAAAAACCTGTTGCTTTAAAACATGCAAATTCACATGTGCACAGTTGTTTGTACTTGACATGCAGGATAATTGGCTCAGCTATGAAGGTGCTTCCAGGCACCTGGCTATGTGAGCCGGTGAAGCTTGATTGCAGACTTCAGGTGGATTCTTTGCCGATTCAGCTTGATCGCAGTCAGCTTGAAGTGGATCACAGCTGAGGCTTTGGGCACAGTGGTTTCATCGCTGCTTGGCTCCAGCTGAGATGCTCGATGCATCTTGATGCTCCCTGCGGGCTGAGACAGAGAGATGGTCCAAGGTGGACAGTTCTGGACAACCTCCACGTCCGTCCTGATGTGCTTGGACAGTGCCACTTGATCTTATATTGTTCTGGGCATGACAGTCTTCGTGTAGTCACAGTCGCTTTGGCACCTTGGGCGGCCTTGGGCGTTTCAGATGCTGTCCCGATCAGGCAAAGTTTGTTGATTTAGCAGTTGAAGCTGGTGGCAGTACATATGAGTGCCTCGGCTTCTGGAATAAGAAGGGTCGATGCTTTTTCTTTTTCTTGCATCATTGGTTGCATCAAGGTTTCTATTTATGTTCGGAATCGTCTACGTTGGGAGGATTGAGGCTCTATGTTCTGAAGGCCATGCTGGAAAGACTTCCTTTGCTTTCTTCATTCATTGGTTTTGTGCCCTCACCGCGTGCCAGGCAAGATTGTGACTGACCTAGGGTTGGAAGTGCCCAAGCTGCAAGTTTGTCACAACTGCCTAGCCCATAGGCCGGGTTTCACTTCTGGATCGTCAATGGACAAACATCTCACACTTCATCTACGATCACGACTTAACTACTTCCCTATGTCCAGGGGCACGCGCCGTGATCAGAATGAGTAGCTGAACATTGACAACTGGTGTGGCGGGGTTTACTTCACAAGCTGACCAGTACTTGAAGGCGGTGTGATTCCGAATGAGTCATTCCTGTGGCCGAAGCACCATACGGGAATTAGGCAAGTGAAGTGCAACAATCGAACATCAATTAGTCAGCAGCTCGCCTAGGGCAATCAGTGTGCAGCCATGTGGGATAGCATTTTTACACCGAAGGCCATTCGTACCGTCACAGATGATGAAGAACATGCCTCCGGAATGTGCACCAAAATCGTCACAGAAAATTGACTGGGCATATCGTATCAGCATCGATTTTGTGACCGTGCGCATGCGCCCGGGTTATGAACGAACATGGCGGCTTCGATTACGCTGGTCCTGTTGAGTTGATTGGCCTTGCGCTTCTTGTGCTTGTCCTTGAGCTAAGGCGTCACAGATGGATGATTTGGCAGATGCATGGCTGCAGATGGTTTACTTTTTGGCTGGGCTGGCCGTACCTGCCTTTGACAGACGCATTCCGTGGGCATCCAGTTCTGGGTCCGAGGACCGTTCGCGAAGGTTCCTTTCGGCACAGACCCGGTCGTTGATGAAACAGAAATAGAGCGAACGTGCAGAGCGAGCTGCAGCAAGCACAGCCAGTGCCCCTCGACTGATATGAACCGGTGATTATAGGTTAGCAATAGTCTGTGGCGACTCAGTCTCCGGGGTTTATCTCAGTCTCCGGGGTGTAAATGATTTCAGGTTGACTGACTGACTGTTCACCACCATGTGGCACTAACAGCGGCAGTCCCTTTTGCATCTCTGGCGCAGCGGGCAGGCACTCCACCGTTTTGAAATTCTAAACTCAGCCAGCCTTGGAGTTCTATGACGTCAGCATTGTTTCCACAAAAAGCATGCAGAGAAATTCTTTGTGCCGCTTACCTGGATTGACCATGTCCGCAAAGGCATTTCTCGCAATGCCTTAGCCCTCGTCCGCAAAGCTTGGATGATGTTCAGCGTCATGCATATGCCGAACGGCATGAAGCATCGTGGAGTTGGCGGAACAAGAACAAAATCATGTTTTTGGAGGAAAGAAGTTGCGATTTAGGGCTTATCCCGAGAGCTCAAGCATGCTCAAGCGCTCTCTTGAGCTAGTAGCAGCTAGATCCAGCTAGATCAAGTTGCTTTGTGAACCCATCATCACAGCCATGGTCACTTCGGCAGGGCCATTTTCGGCCTCCCTTTGAAGTCTAGCTATTAGCATTGAGGTACGACCAAAGCCATGGTATTACTGTAGCAGTTTCCCTTTACTTGGCACCAAGCAAGGCAGGGCAAGGCAGGGCAAGTGCATTGAATCTTCAGCCGCATGGCTCGATACCTCTTGGGCTGCCAAGTTCCGCTGTAGTTTGACAACAGGCGTCGTGACGATTGAAGTTGAATGACATGTCCCTCCGCATAGTATCCGCGCGCCGCTACTGAAATGCCTAGGTATTTTTGTTATGCGCAGTTGCTGCGCCTGTATTTGCAGCATGTCTTTCTTTTTCAGTTTGGATTGCCGAAGCTATAGCAAGCATGGCAGTATAGTAGTCCTTTTTAGTCGGCCTTTTTTGGTTTGAGCTTGTGGACTTTGTTTTGAATTGCACGTCTGACCGACTGACCGAGAAGTCCCATTCCATGACAGATGGTGGAATAGTCCGAAAAGGCAACGTGAGGGTTGGTGGTGTGGTTTGATTGTTAACATGAGCGCAAGTTTGTAATGTCTCTGCAACTGCCTCTGAGTGTGGGATAGAAGGACGGGAAATCCCAGTTCACTGACGCTCACAGCCAATGTGAAACAAACTCATTGCGGAAGATGTCTTATAATTCAGTTTAAGTAGATGGCTTTCCACTACAAACAGTTGGTTTTCGATTTGAGGGAGTGCATGACTGCACACCAGCTAGCGCACAGAGCGTTCTACGCAAGTCCTTTGTGTTGGGGCTTGGTTGTTTTGATGACCTGTGCAGGGCAATCAAGCGCTTCCATACAATAGCGATGAAAGGCATGGCTAGTCCATTCAACGTTTTAACACTGCTTTCCTGGCGCAGTCTGGCTAGTAGTGGTTCAGAGCCAGCAACCACCGACGTGGGCTTTGAAGGCTACCTTCTTATTGGCTACTTCTGCGTGGCTGCAAGCTACCGCCAGCAGCTTCCAGCTGCAGGTTTCGCAGCTGAGTCTGGGTGCCCCGGCCGTGTCGTAGAACCACAAGGACAATCCTGTCATTCTTTGGCCAGAGTGAGGCTTGATAGTGGAGAGAGAGTGCGACAGATCCTGGAGCCAGTCACCTCAGACAGAGTCGTCCTTGCAAAACCTTTGATAACCAGAGATCATGCCTCTGCCACGCGCCATGCGCCGTGCAGGCCCTGTGAGATGGTTCATTTGGACATCGATGTGTCAGCTTCTTATGCCAACTTGTGCTGAAGCCTTCCATTTTTGATGGAAGTGCTTGGCGCCTCTCAGGCCTAGAGGGAATGCGATGAGCTCAGGTTGGAGGGTTTGAGTATGCATGACTGAGTAGACAAGCTTACTTCGAAGTCGCGGGGTTCCGGTTCCTATTTCTCGACATGCAGCTGTGTGTGAAGGATAGCTGTGCAACCTTTGGCTCAGACATGCAGTAGCCCCATGTTTCCTTTATTGTCTCCCGCTGGCAGCAGGCAGGGCACCCCCCTACACTCATTGCTTCCAGCATTTGTACACTGAGACGCGGACAGATATGTCATAGATTGTCACAGTGACTAAGAGCGGATGTGGACCCAGGACTGCAGGATGCCAGTGGATAATGACGCCAGACCCTCTTGCTTTACAGACGGGGCTGAGCTTGCAAAGACTCTCGAAGCACAAGCACTCAGACATGGGCAGCATTTGGTGAGAACCTTTGGGTTTGTTACATTCTAAGAGGATACATTCAGCGGCATACATTCAAAGCGGCGTGCATTGATCATTGCATTGATTTGTCCTTGGAATAGAAGATAGCTAAATAACTGATGCTAACTGCAGTTTGCTCAAGCTTAAGGAACGAGATCCCTGACACGGCCACTACGGTGCTGCTCGGGGAATGTACACATGGGACTGAGGAATTCTACCACTTGCGTGCGGAGAAGCTTAAGCAGAAGTTTTATCAACTGATGTGGGTCGCAATGTAAGATGTGGAAGGTTGCTACATGATGCTTGAGCCAAGGATCAGCAAATATTTGATGCAAAACAGAGGTTTCAACATCATCCTTTGTGAAAGCGACTGGACATTCATGTGGCACGTAAATCAATACGTCCACCGGTGACTCAGCGCACATTCAGATGTTCCTGCGGCTGTACTTGGAGTCAGCCTTAAGGCCGAGAATCTGGCCTAAGGAAAAAGAGCAAGATGTTCCCGGATGCAAGCCGCTTTCCTGTCTCGTGGCAGAGCATTTTCTAATATGTCCTTTGATGTCCTGTGACTCATTTAGACCGTCTACGCCGCGCAAACCGCCCACGTGTCGAACGTAGTTTGATGGCACTTGTACTCATCGGCACTGTGAGGACTGGATGTGGAAGAATCGACCCTTCTACGAGCTGGTGGAATGGATGAGAAAGCGAGCCTCTTCGGATGGGCCCTACGTCTTTGGCATGGACTGCTATTGCAAGGAGGAGGCGAAAGAAGAGGTGCTCAATTTCTTCGATTTCTATGACCGTGATGGCCTGGGCAAGGACACCCATACATGGCCCATACATGGCCCATGTGGTCTGTTTTTGTTCTCTAGACTCTAGGCTCTAGATCTCGGTTTTGGTCGACCCGGTCCGGCCTGGCTGATCGCCAGGAGTTTCGGCGTGCTTTGTATCCGGTGGAGCAGCCAGATCAGCCGCTCGGATGGCAAGCAAGAATGGATGTTTGTGAACTGTTTGTGCACAGCCAGTGATTGTGGGAGACCTTTGGGCACAAGCGTCCTGCATTCTGTAGAATGGCCGTCAATGAGTTAATGAGAGTGCACACATTGCAGACAGCGCACAAGTAGATGCTCTTGCATGACACGCGGGGGGCGTGTTTGACGTTGGTGCACACTAGCACTTGCTGCTACTCTCAGCCGGTTTGAATTTGCAAGTGGTAATCACCTACATCTTCTGTTTGCTCGTACTTCATGACACTGACTAGTTCCGAAACGACACAACAGATGCATGGCAATGCATGATTCGTGTCATCAAAAGATCCAATTTCGTCGATTCGGCCATGGGCTTCGAGATGGGGTTTGCTGCCGCCAAACCTTGTGCACTGGGCGCCCTGCGGGGCAGTTTAGAGCGTCCGCTCTGCTCTCAGAGTGCGTCTTTTCCACCTCGAGCTATGCAGACAATGTTGCGGGCTGCTGATGATGTGAAGCCAAACGTTACAGATATGACAGATGTCCATCAGGATGTGAATGCAAAGCTTGCACGTGCGAGGCAAGATGAGCCCTGGACGTTCCAGCAGCTTTTCTCGTTGATTAGCGGCTTCATCGGCTCCATCTTGTCCTTGAATGCTTACTCCAAGTTGCGCGAATCAACCAAGCGGCGAGAGGCTATCGTGAGGCAATCTCGAGCTCAGAGACAAATGCAACCTGGGAGTCACAAGTCAGCACGGATTGTACAGCAGCTGGGTGGATCCCTCTTAGATGCAGAGGCCGAGTCTCCCCTGTTCTCCTTGGGCCCAGTGCCGACCTGCACGCCGGCCTCCAATCTGCACAGCCCCGATCGGCACTTCACCATCATCACCACGGCCGCTCTTCCTTGGCGGACGGGCACCGCCGTGAATCCACTGCTTCGAGCTTTGTATCTGGCGAAGAGTGGTAGGCCAGTGATCCTCTACATCCCTTTCTTGGAGAAGGCCGATCAGAGCTATGTCTTCGCGAAAGGAGTTTCTTTCGACACCCCCGAAGAGCAAGAGAAGGTGGTTCGACAGTGGTGCCAAGAAAGGGCCAAGATGGACTTGGATAAATTGGACTTGCAGTTCCATTGGTACCCCGCCAAGTACATCCTTGCTCTCAAGAGCATCTTCCCCACTGGCGATTGCACCAAGAACCTGTTGCCGACCGATCCCAAAGACGTGTTGATCTTGGAGGAGCCAGAGCACTTGTGCTGGTTTCATTCAGGGCAACGCTGGCCCGAGCTCTTCACACATGTCATTGGCATTGTCCATACTAACTACTCAGACTATGTGAATGTAGCTGATCCTATTGGTACTATGGGTCCCAGTGGTGAGTGGCTTGGTGGTAGTTTGCCGCCAGAGTTCAAAGAAGTCTCGGTCTTTGCCGCCTCAACGTTGGTGTGCAGCGCCTACTGCGATGTGAATGTGAAGCTGTCGGACACGATCATGCCTTTGCCCAACGAGGTGACCTGCAACGTGCATGGGGTTCGGTCTGAATTCCTCGACATCGGAGACAGGACAGTGTGGAAAGAAGTTGTCTTTTCAACAGATCCAGATAGATCCAGTACATCAGTCAGTGCATTCTCAAAACCTTTGATAGGAGCCACAAGCCGAAGCCAGGTGCTGCCAAAGCCTACTACTTGGGCAAGGTGCCATGAGTAGTTGCACAGTGATGAGTTGCGAGGCCATGTGGAACTAACATGTTGCACTTTTCTCACCATGGTGCAGGCCCTCTACGCAAAGGGATGGAGAGAGCTCCTGGATTTGCTCAGAATGGCAGGGTCAGGCCTTGCTGATCTCGTTGTGGATGGCTTTGGGTCAGGCCAGGGTAGGTGCTGAAGTTTGGTCCACCAAATGGGTCGGGCAAGTTTTGGCGGAAGATGGATGCGGCTTCCACGTGCCCAAAAACTCCTGTGCTCAATTGTCAGGTCCCGACTATGAGGGGATCCTGAAGGAGATCGAGGCTTTGAGTAAAGATGGGCCACAGCTCCGAGTACAGCCTGGCATTGACCACGCTGATGCACCAATCCACGGATATGGAGTTCTCATCAACCCCTCGACTTCTGATGTTCTTTGTACCGTGACCGTGGAAGCACTGGCGATGGGCAAGCATATTGTTCTTGCCCGGCATGTGTCGAACAACTTCTTCGAGCGCTTTAAGGCGCCACAAGATTTGTCAAGATTTGAGATTTCACAAGTCATGACGGTCATATTGCGGTCATAGTGATATTTTACTACTTCAACGGTTAACGCCTTTAACCTCACCAAAGTGCCAAAGTGGACACTTGCTGAGAGGACCGATGCCACTTCTTTGAGATCGGTGACGTCACAAGCTTTACCACGGCTGTGAAGGAAGCACTAGCTGCTGGTGCCTTTGTATTACTTCAGACTTGTGTGGCCATACACTGCTTTCCGGTGTTCCGGTTTTCATTCAATCTGAAAAATGCTTCGGGGCATGTCTGGGCTTTGACCGCGCAGGTGATCCGAAGCCGCTGTCACCAGATGATAGATATACTCTCACCTGGGAAGCAGCAGTGGAACGACTTTTTGATTCAGCCGAGGCCATGGTTGAAGAAATTGTGCACACCTGGCATAGGAAGACGCACAATATGTAGCAATATTTGCGGTGAATTTTTTCTCATTCTCCAATAGTTCTAGGCTTGCTTGCGTGCTCAAACGGCCAGACCACTGGCTCGCTGTTTCCAGGTGCGTGTCCTTTCTGGTCCATTTCAGCGGCCATCCGAAGCAGCGTTTTCAAGATTGGCTTACGATGTCCACTTTGGAGTGATGAAAGATGACACCGTTCTGGCTGATATCATTCGAAGAACCACTTTCGGAGAAGAGGAGTATCCCAAGGTGATTCCAGATAGAATCTTGGCATGCATTTGTGTTGGGTCGGTCCGGGCACTGGCCGACAGAGAAGAAGTGAGTAGGTGAAAGCTTTTGCTTCCCCAGAAGTGTGCCGTTATCATGCAGTGGTGCCATCCATCGAACGGGGCATTAGACAGATCTTGGATGTTAGGCTAGGACGGACAACCATTGAAGATGTCAACATTTGCTTTCTGTTAATGACCCACCGGCTACCCTATCGAGAGAGGTGATATAATATAGAGGCTTTTTACTGAAGGCCCGGCCGCATGTACACAGACTACACCGAGGTGCTGCCAGCACGAAAGTTCAGGCTTGAGGTTGCGAAGCGCGTGGATGCGCCGCCTTGAGCAAAATGTGAAGGTGACAAACAAGCCCTTGTCAAGCCCGGTTCGCTTTCGATTGCCCAATGCTCCACTGGCACCCAGCCGTGCTGGTGGGGATGCTGCTGGACGTGACATGGCAGAATCTCTTTCATAGACTTGGCTTTCAGCATGTTTCACCACCAGTTCCGTTTGGGAGCCAAACCAAGTAGCTGAGATGCAGAAAAGGTTTGTCCCCTTGTGCTTGCTGACTTGTGGAATGTGAGGGGTATGTGCTTTGCTCAATGGACTATCTTGATTTTTCTTGGAGTAATGAGGAGTTGCTTTTGAGGTGGCCCAGTATTTTGGCCAAGCTGCAGTGGGAGTTTCAGGCAGACTCTGCTTCCAACGCACGGAGGCAAAGCGGCCCTGCCTTTTTCTCCTGGTGCTTGCAGCTCATGCTAGGAAGTCTAGCATGCCTGTGCTTGAGTGACACGTGCAGGAAGGCCAGCTACAGAACTACAGCGGATGGCAGTTGCGGAAGCATAGCGCCTTGAAGCAAGTAAAACCACCTCAATCAACTTCCTCTCGCTGCTTCTGATGTTTTGTTTGATTTGCCTAAGCTCCACTGTCCACTGGAAGGTCCTGGCCTCCAAGAAGTTTTGTGGCTGCTCCAAGCTGGACCAATTCAATGTGGAGCAAAACCTGGAGCCCTGGAGAAGGTAATGTAGCAGTACGGGTCTTTTGGGGGGCTGATGGCTTTTGATCAGAGACTGTGCTTACGGAATTGGAGCCTTGTGACTTGCTGGCGAGCCAGAGGGGCCGGCCATGATCCAACATGATGCACAGGGACGCCTTAGGTATACCAACTTGGTGTTGGATGTGCTAAAAACAATGACAACTTGTCGACTCCTCGGAGGCTTTAAAGAAGAATCAGCCAAAAAAACGTTGTTAGCCCAGTGATGCAGCATGCAGTATACCATTCCGGCGAGCCAGCCCCCGATCACCATCAGTTCCCCTGAAAGAATCATAAGATTTTGGCATGATGTAGGAAAGGGAGCAGCAAAGTGTGGAACAATGAAGCGTGGGGAAGGATATTTGCACTGCCCGGAGTCTGCCGGCGGGCCATTCAAAGGGAGCCATGAACGAGCATCCAGGGAGTTGTTAGTGTTGATTTGCGCGCAGATGCATTGCGTGGCCCCAAAGGAATGCATGATTGCAGCTGATGAGTATTACTCCAAACAGCGACTTGAACCACCAGGATCTCGAGCAAGCTGGAATTTTGGCCTGCTTTCAGTCGTGTATTTGTAACAGGCTGCACTGCAGTTTAACTCTTTTTGAGTATTGCCCTGATGAACCTGAGGAATGCACGTGACCAACATATGATGACAACCATCCTGAGACTTCGGGCGCACTCCCGAGAGCTCTTTGGGATTGATGAGAAGGACATTCCACTGAATAGGCTGACTGAGTGAGGCTGGATGTGCATGACTTGTGCGTGAGGAACTGAAGATCATAGTCTGGGCACATAATTCCCATGTTGGCGATGCAACTGCAACTCCCATGGGAGGGATGGACTTCCAGCGAAATGAGTAGCTTGATGAAAGCGCTTCGTTCAGGTTGTTCCTTTGCCTTTGGTGTCTAAGCACCTTGCGGTGTGTTCTTCGGTTCATTTTATCTGTGTTTTTTGGTGTTCAGAAGAGCGGCGTGAAACCTCGAAGTTCTTGAGGAAGTGGAACCTGGGCCAGAAGCTTGGCTAAGCCAAGCGGTTAATCTGCCAATGATTTCAACAGCCTGCAGATGTTAATAGCTCACTGTCTAGTTTTGGTGGGGAATAGCTCACTGTCTAGGTTTGGTGCCTTGCGGCAGCTGAGGATGTGCCGGAGTAATTTGGAGTCGGTCTTTATCGTCGGATTCTATGCCTACTGCGGGGAAGTGCGTGCAGCAAAGAAGTGGGGTGGCGAGGGGCAGGTGATGAAGCTATCTGCAGCCGCTTTTGAGCTGCAAGTGGGCTTTGCAGTTTTGTGCGCATGGCTTTGAGCAGGGGAAATGCACGCTCTAACGGGCCGCATATATGTGCGATGTGGCCGCTGTGACTTGTTTCCGGCGTTTCCAAGGTGCCCTACTCTTTCGAGCATCGTTTGCATGAGTGGTTCGCAGGAAAGTCTGCAAGCTTCCCACTATACCGATTTCGAGATGCCTCCCAGAAGTTTGAGCACCTCGGATATATACTTCACAAAGAAAAGCAAACAAGCCCGGACTAAAGGATTTGTTTGGGAAATTTTCATTTTGGGAACATTTAGTGTGGGCATCGTTCTGCTGGCTCTGTTTGCAAATATTTGCTTTCGACCAAGGTATGTGCCACTGAAGTCTCCTTTGAACATCGAATACCGAGCAGTTCATCCAATGGTCAGGGTCAACAAAGACTTGCACCCAAATAACACCATGGAAGAGGAAGGATCGGAAGCAGAAGCTTTGAGGCACAAACATCAAACTCTAGATCCTCAGAAGTCCTTCATCGCGGTGAAGCGTGTCCAGATTGGAAAGAATGGCGAAGTGATTCGCCTCCAAATCAAAGGCTACGACCGAGGTCAGTATGATGGCTGCTGGGTCACAGAATACAGTAGATATGGCTCTCGGACTATCCACTGTTTGCCGGCTGATCATTTGAATGCTTTGTCTGGGCAAAACATCAGTCCAGAAAAACTGCTGATGGTTGCCAACTTTCCAATCCTACAACGTTGGGTCGGAGTGCAGTATCATCCAGAAACGGAAATCGAGTCACACTACGGCGAGATGTCCATTGCAAAATGCTATGATCTTGTGCCTTTGAAGGAATTAAGCTGACGCTTCGCTGACAGAAACGAGACCTCTCGAGGCGAAGCATGGCGAAGCTGTGAAAGTCACATGACGTGTTCCTCACGTTTCCATCATGTGCTGAGGCCGTTTTCGTTGACAAGACACAGGCGCTGAATATTGATATGACTCCAGCCGTGGCTGTCACAGTGTCTGCTGCCCTGGGCGAGGTGGGCCTCCTGGTTTGGTGGCCGGTCTAGGGCCGTCCGGTCGGGGGACCAACATGCACCGTTCGTAGCTTGTTCCTAGTAAGGCCAGGAGCCCCGAACGTAGCGTCCTTACACTGCTGGGGGGTTCTACAGCTGTCTTACATGTTAGTGATTGTTGACAAATCCTTTGACCAAACTGTCCTCTGTTCAGGAGAAGGTGCCAGAATCCGCCGCGGGCAAAGCAGTGGTCACGGCCAGTCACAATCGCCGACTCATGATGGAGCGGAACCCTTAATCACCTCAGGGGGTTTTTGTGAGGGGCAGGGTCAGGAAAAGCTTGATTTTGACACTGTTGATGCTTGGTTTTGATCTATCCAAGCATTTTGCCAAGTGCCCCTGCCTCAGCTCCTAGGTACAGACGGATTCTCAAGAATCCCATCGATTTCATAGAGGCGCGGCCTTTGGATACCAATATTCTGGAATGGCACTTCGTTATGACGGGTAACCAAGATCCGTACACTGGCGGCGACTTGTCCTGTTGCTTTGTGGAATTGGGTGTCCTTTGTAGTGTGCATGTTTCGAGCTGCCCGACTGCAAAGCCTTCGATTCCCCGCAAGTTAAGAAGTTACATCATGTCATATCAGTTATATCTATAGAAATATAGAAGTAGCCATCTGGCCAAGGCAAATATCATGGCACCTCAACTGCAAGATGCTGGAGTCGTGACCTTTTAGCAAAAGTTGAAGTTGGCATCATGCGCAATGTTTCCTGATTTGTGGTCAGGCATTCTAGAGTTTCCGGATGATTTTCCCATGAAGCCACCATCCATAAAGCATCTCGGCAGAGAAGAGTTGTATGTATTTGCTTAGGGTTTCAGACATCAGTGGCTTCTGTTTGACATGTGCCAGGCTGTTGACACCCAGCGGGCGCTTCGAAATCAACAAGCGCATCTGTCTTTCAATGAGCGATTTCCACAAAGAGCATGGCTCTCAGGATTCCAATGGAGAAGAGGTGAAGGGCCTAGCTCTCGCGTCTTTTGGCCCTGTCAGGTCTTGGAATCCTAGCTGGACGGTCGAGAAAATCCTCATCGGCCTGATGAGTTTTATGTATGAGGCACCGACGAACACGGGCGCCCTTCTTTACGCGTGCGTGGCCGCGCAGCCGCGCGGCGCGGGCGCTGCGTGCTGTGCTGGGATGTGTTTGGAAGCCAACACCTCAGCTTTTTGCGATGTTCGTGGATTCAGGAGAACTCCGTGTCCATTGGCTCGATTTTGGAGCCCAAAGAGGATCGACGGAGATATGCTGCAGCCTCTGCATATTTTAATGCTGCTTGGCTGCAGACAGCATTTTAAGTTGTGCCGCATGTCCAGCACTGGGCTGCCTGTTTGAGGCGCAGAACGAAATTTATGTACAGCTGTTCCAAACACCTGATGAAGCAGAGGAGGCCTGGTGTGAAGAGCACTCTTTCTTATCCACCACTGCCATTTGCCCTACGCGAAAACTTGTGTCAGGAGGACAACATCCGCAAGCTGCGCAAAGTGGCAGCAGCAGGCGGTGAATCAGAGAGTGAAAAGGCGAGGAGTGAAACCGAGCATCCTTTCTCGTTAGATGCTCGGTTTCACGGACGGACTTAAAGTGAAGAATTGGACCTGGAGTGGTCTTCCTGTGCGATCTCTCTCATCGCAGGCTTGCAGATATTGCTTGGTTGATTCTGGTGACTTAGTCGCCCCATGCGAATGCAAAGGGAGCGGCCAATGGGTCCACCTGAGTTGCCTGCGGCAGTGGCAGAAGTCTGTGCTACTAACGCAGTCCACTCATCCGAAGTACCAAACCCGAATCGATGAAATTTGATGCTCGTTTGCAAGCAGAGCATTTGGGGACACCTTTTGGAGATGCTTGCCACTTTCATTCCGTTTGACTTTCTGAAGGCAATGTGTGTGAACGGCCTTTCAAAGAGGAGTTTAAGCCAAGAAGCCGCCGAGAGGCCTGCTGCTTTCTTATTTCTTTGCTGTGTATTGTTTAAGAGGCTTCTAGCACCCAGCTGCTTTGATCGCAGGCCTTGCTGGAATACACCGGTGAGGAGACATATCACGTGGCACTAGCTAAGATTGCCCTAGAGTTAGAGCCGCCCTGCCTGTTTCAACAAGCAAAGACTTAGAGCGGCAAGGGCACGCAAGAGCCACGTGAGACATATGAGCGTCCGTGACCTGAGGAGCTGCCAAAGCTGATACAGAAAGGGAATCTTTTGGCGAAGCTGAGCTGCAAGACGCTTCTCGCCATGTTTCGCAATGGATGGCGCCCTGAAGCGCCGACGGATGTCACAGCCCGTGGGTGACTGAGGGTCCAAGGGTGTGAGGAGTTTGGTTGGATCCAGAGCTGAATGAGCGTTCCACACTTACTGTATATAAGTCACTTGACTTCGTCTCGATGTGTTTGGTGATCCATGCTTCTTTTGGTTCCAAAGTTGCTGGCTCTTCAGCAAAGATGTTCAAAGAATGTGGCTACAGCTGCTGAACTGCTTGCATCTGAATGGCGATGAGAAGACCTAAGAAATCACCACAGGAACGGTTGAGCAGCTTGTATTGGGATGGCCAACAAGAATCACACACACACACACATATATATATATAACCTACATAAGTGGGGGGGCAGAACACTTGCCACCTGACTCCATGCTTCATGCCTTCTCCATGTGACTGTACTTCCTTTTTGGCACGTTGAGGTGTCCAAAAGGGCTGAAACGCTGATCGACCGATTCTTTTCTTCGATTCAACTGCTGGTCGATCAGCGTTTTGGGTGTTGGTGACCATCTCTCCATATCTCTCCACCGTCTCATTTCTGCTCTTGGATGCGCTCAAAATCAAGGAGCTCCCGGCCGAAGTCCGAGAAGAATGGAGAACTCATGAGACAGCAACGGGGGACGCTGGCAGCGAGGCGAGGAATTGTACAGTAATTGGAATGGGAGTCGTGCGACCATGTTTAGATGTGTTACTTAAATGTAACTCCTCATGGGAGAGAAAGAAAGATTGAAAGAGAGAGGGGGGGGAGAGAGAGAGAGAGAGAGAGAGAGAGACTGCATGAGCATTGCTGTCTTCCTCCAATCATGTTCCTCCAGATTTTGCTTTGCCTTTTGCCTTGACTGGTCAGCAAGCTTGTGCTTGGTTTCTTGCTTCCTGCAGGTTGGGCCACTTCACAGAGGCTGTGTACATCATTTCCTTGCACCTAGGCTTGATTATACGATGGCGCCATTTCGTGATATGCCCCTCAGATTCGTCCAGCAAACACTAATGTGGCTTGTTTGCCTTTTGTTTGCACCTCATTTGCTTTCTGTTGAAGAATTTGTGTGAAATAGCCACGGCAGCAGCTCAGTTCCACACTTGGTTGGCTTCAGTGACCACAGTACCTTTGTCCGGGAGTTTTGTTACCTGAAAGCCAGCTTTGGTCGTAGGTGCGAACCTTACAATCCGAACAAACGTGGTGGAGGAGCGGTCGGCTGCTTAGCTGGGGGATGAGGTTGGCATTCGCGTCAGCGCATGACATACGCATGACATGCTCATGGCAAGCGCAAAAGCCATGCGGGTCAGCTGCCATGCATCACACTCAGCTGCCACGCGCCTTGCAGAAGAAGACGTCAGGTCCTCGGCGTCAACTTGGTCCAGAAGGTGCCAGATCCCATCGAACGAACTACACGGCCTTTGCTGAACCAGGGTCCCGACGTTGAGGCGGGAGGTGTGAGTGCATTTCTATGTGGAGTTGCTAGAACTTGCCTCCTTGAACTCATATTTTTGCGCCCAAGATTGAGGTGACCACCTACCCTTTGAAAGAGTGGCGGCACCATTATGCTCCATTGGTGCAGGCCGAACCCTGCTTGTTTGCAGTCCGGGATGGGTCATACAGCGCTTGCACGCACGACGCAGGTCCTGCAACAGGCTCGTGTCATCGGCCCTGGTGCCGTAGAGCACTACCTGGGTGGTCCAGTGGAGCCTGCTGAGGCCCGAGCCCTGTTTGCTTCCGCCAGGGTGGCAGCCATACTGCAAACCGGTTAGTTTCGTGTGATGACTTCTGTCGTATCCACGACGCTTAGGAGGCCCTTTCATATTGACACGTGTGGAGTGGTACCGTGCTGGGCCCTCTTCTGGTTTCATGTTCTGTCCGCAGTTTGGATGGTTGCTGGAGGTGTTTAGATGTGTAGCCCAAGAACTTCCACTTGACATCCATCCTTCCAGCGCACAAAAACATCAGATCGGTGCGATTCCACCATCCAGCCATCGACCTCCAGGCATTTGCACTCATCGACCTCCCTGCGACGTTGCTGGAAGCCGCCTCTCGGCGAAGTGACCGACTCGAGGAGTCAAGGACATTCGTCGCAGACGCCCCGGTCGTGAGGCGAAAGCGGCCAGCAATGCATCACTGGCGGATCCAGGGGTAAGACGGCAGTTGGGCAGTTGCTTTGAGTTGCTGTTCCTTGGCTCGTAAGTCTGATTCAGAGCTACAGAGTTCTTCACATCCTCTCAATGGATTTCAGTGGAGTTCAATGGATTTCATACATGACACAACGGTAATTAAAGCTGACGCAAGTGCGGGGAATGCTGACGCAAGTGCGGGGAATGCGTGCAGGTCACCGCAGAGAATAGCGCAAGTATGCTCGAGGCTACGCGTCAAGGGGAGTGTCTTGGCCATGCTAGGGTTATATACAGCTAGCTCTGATGACCGATGCATGATGCTCTGATTGAAAATTGAAACGTCAAATGACATTTCATTTCCTCCATCGACATGTGCAACACTCTTGCAACCACCAATCAGCCCATTCCTTCTCCGCTTCATTCTGCTTGCATCTCTCCCTCTCTCACTCTCAGTGGCCTTTCCTGCAGCACCTGTTCTCAGTTCTGGTCAGATCTGTCAACAGCATAGTCTGCAGTTCGTGTCTCCATGTGGAGGACTGCTCGAGGCTACAACGATTCGTCACGCTGGCTGTGTGGCTTAATATGAGAATACAAGCCCTCTGCGACGCCTAATAAGATAATATAATATATGTAACTATATATATAATATATACATACAGTACACTGCAATCCTTTTCTTCTACATCACTGAAGACTGGATGCCTTGCAAACACATGCTTTTTTGAGTTTCCTGGTGAGTCAGGTGGCTTTCGTCCGACGTCCGGCAGTTTCAGAAGTCACTTCCATGGTGCTTCTTTCACGCAACCGTTCTTGATTTGACCCATGCCTGTCCAATTGGCTCGTCAACCTGTCCAATCCAAGTGTGAGTCAGACAGTGTGGGGTGTGGGCGTAGGCGGAGGCATCTTAGACATCATTCAATTCTGTTGTGGTTGGAGTTCTCACCGAGGCATTTACTTCGGCAGCTCAGCTGCAGTTCCAGAGTGCCCATTTAAGCACAGACATAACTAAAAGACCTATCCGTCGGTTGGATGGTGTTCCGAAGGCTGAACAGTGCTAAACTTTGCATCAAACCGCCCTACATGTATGCTGAAGTCCTTGCATAACATGGCATATACGCCCCCTCTCTCCCACAACGGAGACATGCCCTCCACTTGCTAAGATGCTCGGCTGGTCGCTCCTTCAGCCGCCCCACAGGTGAATTGTCTGTGATTCTGGCATTGCTTGCCAGTGTCTTTGTACATGTTGGTCCCAGCGACAGTGCCATGCATCTTGGCAAATGAAAGTGCCTGAAGGATACTGAAGGCATTCAATTGAGGTTCTTATTTGGATTGGTCGCCAGACTTTGGTGAAGGTGGACGCAGTCTTGCTCAGGTTGGGCGATAATCCTGTCAAGGTTTTTTGGGGGTATGCCTCGTGGAATGCCACCCAGCTGCTTGGAGAAATTGCTCGGCGTGGCTGGGGATTGGTGGAGACTTGGTTGCAACTCAGGACGGCCACCAGCAGGTGAAAAAGAATAGACGGTCCAAGTTTGTTCTTCTTCTTTTAGTGTTTCGGTACGATAACATAATTGTTTTTTGCAAATCCCTTGTGCTAGCTGCTAGCCCAACAGCAATCCAATTGGAGAACTCGAGCTCAGGTCACAGATCCAAGTCTATCTTTCTCATGTTGGGACCAGAACGTTGCTTCATGGGAGCGGGTGGTGGACAAGAGCATCGTTGCTCGAGAAAGTGAGTATTCCAATTGACAGGTAGCGGCTGCAGACGCAATTTGCTCGAGCATTTTGCACAGGCTGAGTGGTGCTCGACACAAGTAGAAGAGACAGAGAATAGGGCCAACTAGAAGACCCTCCAATTCCTGCACACGCTCAGCCAAAGCCGTGTAGACTAGGGTGACGAAAATCCGAGCCGTGTAGATTGGGTTTCCGACGGCCAGAGGAGCATGCAGACGCAGTTCTGCCAGTGCCAGCATGCCAAGCAAATTTGTCGCAAGAGAGCGAAGAAAAGGAAGAAGAAGGATTTCAAGAGCTCCATTGCGATCAATTTGGAGAGTTGCCTAAAGTTGTTGCCTGCTTGGCACTTTCTGGCCTCAAAGTTATAACTTCTGATGCTCTGTTCCTGCAAAGCTCTGCGAATGAGCCGTTGCCATTTACGATTTTGAGCAAAGCTAGAGGCTTGTCATTCGGAGTCTCGTAAGAGTTGATGAACTAAGACTTTTCTGCGGACTGCTACCACTGAGTGCAATCAAAAAGGATGCCTTTCAAACGATTTCAACCAAACACACTTCAATCTCAGCCGTATCCTTTAACCCTCCACTTGCCAAGCCTCTTGTGCTGATGATATGATTTGACTATGGTATGCTCGTTTACTCCCAGATTTTCGGTCACCACCTTTGACTCTAGTCATTGTGTGCATATGCCTTTCTGGAGGACCTCAATGCACAGATTTTTAGACGTGCATTTTGTAAGCCAGCCTTGGAAAACGCGCCATGAGGGCGAACATCTAGGATTTCATCGGCACTTTGACGGCTAATGGACGAAATACAATTTGATCCAGCAGCGTATTTTGCCCAAGTTTGCTGGAGGGTCAGTTCTATTGCCATGGGTACAACTCCCAGTGTACAGGAGGATCTTCAAAATCTGAAGAAGTTCCCGGCCAAGAACTCCTCGCGCAGACAGGCCTTTCAACGCCTCCAGCAGTCGCTGGTTTCACGCTTGGGCACGGCTGAGTTGCTCTCCGTGGTTGCCCAGGTGGAACGCTTGAGATTTGAGCTGTGGCAGGCACCGCCGTCCGGAGCCACACGTTTGCCGCCCCAGGTGCTGGCGGACCGCGTGCGGGGGACGGTGTTCGGTGCGGCTCTGGGAGATGCTGCGGGGCTCGCCACAGAGTTCCTAAGCCATGCAGAAGCGGTGGACTTCTATGGCCCCAAGGCAGATTTCCAACCAGGTCGCGAGGTCTTTCCTGATGAGCATAGGATGATGTGGTGTGCAGGTGACTGGACAGATGACACTGATCAGCAGGTGCTCTTGATGCAATCGTTGTTGAATACGAAGGGCCACGCAGATCCCTGTGACTTTGCAGCTCGCCTAGCTTCGTGGCGGACATCTGGCTTCCCAGAGCTCGGAGACCAATCTGCAGCAGGATTGGGGCAGACAACCAAACTCGTGCTCAACGATCCTGACTTCACTTCTGCGCCTCATAAGGCAGCAGCTGCGCACTCTTCCAAAACTCCGTCCAACGGTGGAGTGATGAGGACCAGTTGAACCATGTTGCATATAATGACGACTTTCTGTTTGTTTTTTCAGGTCAGGTTTGTTACCCGTTTGTTACAGCCCGTAGCCCTTGATGCTTGGACAGGACCGCAGTGGCCGGAATTCCTCACTTCTGGGATGAAGATACCGTTTGTGCCGCTGCAGACAGCTTTTGCCGCACCACTCATGCAGACCCCCGATGCGTTGCAAGCTGCTTGGTGGTGGCTCTTTGTGTTAGTCGCCTTTTACGTGGCGAAGACACAGAGGACATCATGGAGTCTGTGGCGCGCCCAGCCATGGCCAAAGCTCGAGCAGAGTGTGCTTTGTCTGAAGAATGGGATGAAGAGATGCAACGTCATGCCGAAGGCGAATTGAGTGACTTGAATCTGGATGAGAGAAAGACCATTGGCTACACCTTCAAGTGCCTTGGTGCCGGGCTGTGGGCCTTGCGTTCCTCGGGCAGCTTTGAAAGCGTGCTGAATCAACTGATCTTGGCAGCTGGAGATGCAGACACCAACGGGACTGTCGCCGGTGCACTGCTTGGATGTCGGCTTGGCTTCAGCCAGCTTCCCAAGGATTTGCACGGCCAAAAAGTAACATGGACCTGGGTCAAGTGGCACCTCGAAAGACGGTTTTTCATCTAATTACAAACCAGTGGTTTTTCAGGGTCCATGTCAGTTTTCAGCCGAGTAAGAAGTCTCAATGAGACGGGCCTCATGCGAGACATTCTTGTTGTTTCAGTGTTCGCTTCATCTGACCCCTCTTCTTTGGATAAAATCCTGGTACAAATACCTAAGACCATCTAAGACCCAAGGTGCGGTTTGTGTTGGCTGGGGCCACGTGAGCCCGACTAGGTTTCTCGGAACATGATATTCGACAACATCTTGCCTTCCCCAGGACTGGATTGCGGGCATGCCTTACAGCTCCTGGCTAGAAGCATATGTGCAGAAAGTTCTGTTCATGCTTCGTCTCCGGGAAGCTTCTTGAGCCTTAGCAGCCCGGTGCAACCACACTGCGGTGGCGCTCAAAATGTGGTGCGTCAAAACAAGCTTCCTTTTCAAGCATTGTTGCGAGCGGATATGGAGATGGTACTGCGATTTTAAGGTGAGCTTTTCTATGCTGTTGCCTCAGCATTCTGAAGGGAACAGAGTGAGATCCATTTTTTCCAAGATCTTGATGGCAAGTGGCGCCTCTCAGGAGAAGGCACTTTGGTACTGTGGGCCTTCCTTTGCCCAGGGATCCAGTCCCCGTCCGAACGGCAGGGCACTCAGAGTTGGAACACATCCGCTTGATTCGCGCCCTGCGCGTTGCAGGGCGCGACTGACCGGCTCAATCAAGTGAGCAAGGCCAGAGAACCGAAGAATCAAAGCTTCTCCGGTTTTTCACCGAACGATATGGATGGCAGGATGGTCCAAAGGTTGCTGTCATGGATGCGGTGCGTCTGGCCTGTGCCCCAGATGGCCCAGCAAAGGGTCATGGCTCAGCTGGCTTAGCCGAGGCTTAGCCGTTGCCTGGCACGTTGAACGCTGAGGCCAGCTTGGCTCGTGAAGAGCTCACTATCTTTGGAGCAGAAGTGATGCTCGGGGCGGTGGGGAGCTGAGGCTTCACAAGGTCGTGCAATGATTTGTGTTCAAACGTTTTCCATGATTTGCCATGGCTCAGTCGATCAGTCGAGAAAAAGTTTTGGCCGCCTTCCGTTTTCTTACTGCAAAGGCTATTTGTGTTGGGGCTGCTCTTCAGAGGCCAGAGGATGCCTCATTTGCTGAGGGGCGGCCAGGTTTTTCAAGGCGAAGGCTGTAGGCCCGAAGGCAATAGATTGATACATTCTGAATCTGATTTTGGTTGCGTCATGCTGTTTGCTGTGCTCAAGTTGGGGCCAACAGTTTCACAGTGGCTTTACAAGTAGATTGGCAGGTCACAATTGAGAAGTTTTACCACAAGCCAAGATTTGTCATTCTAGATTCTAGATACTGTAGCTCACAATACGCGAAAGCCTGTGGGCACAGTTGGGCACGAGCACTCGAGTTCCTAACACAATGGGCGCCCAACTGGGCACATCGTGTGCAGCCTCTTGGCAGCAGATTCAGATGTGCTCGTGGTCGTCCAGCCGAAGCAGAGTAGCACAGACGTGCGCAGATGCCCTGGCGAACGCCAAGGTCTGTGCCAATAGGGGTGGTCTCCTTGTCGCGGACGATGTGGTTGAAAGCACTGATTTGCAGAGACTTGGCGATGTGGCACGGAGTGCAAAGAATGTATCTTCCATTTTATGCAATTGTTCAATTGTGTCTATACAGTGTCCAAATTGAGAACGAAGATGGGTCAAGTGGTGACTCCAAGTGGTGGCCCTAATGCGTTGCTTGCTAGCTGAATCGAAACACCTTTTTCAGTTCCCAGTCGCAGTCGGTCGGTCTTCTGGACATTCCGGCTAACCATGCTGGGCTGAGGAGTGATGAACGATCAGGTTTGGCTTGCCTTTTTGGTGTCCTTCGATTGGTTTCACTCAACTCTGCATAATAGTTATGTTGTTCTCCTTTTTCTAGTTTTGGTGTGTGTGTGTGCAAGCTGCTATAGTTGAACGGAGTTGTTGATCGATTGCTCACTTGGCCCCGTCTTTGAATGCACTACTAATACACGAGCAGGGGGCGGTAGCATGTTATGATGACGACTACACCAAGCGAGGCTAGTCCGAACACGGGATACCAGGCCATCCTGGCGTACTCTATTTTGGGCATAGTTGCCCCATCTTTCTTAAGCTCGCTTAACCTCACACACACACATTTACAGTGTGTGTGCGCGTTCATTGGCGGAGCTCTTGAAAGTGTTGGCCACTATCTTCTATCTTCGTCCTGATCTGCGCCCCGATGGCAAATGTCCAAGCAGCACTGTCCAAGAGGCGCTGCTGTCCTCCCTCATGATTAGCTCAGGTGCCGCACGGTCACACAAGATGCCATGAAAGCATGTCAGAACCATCTTCCCATGCCAGCACAATGCTTGACCGTGAATGCACGAAGATGATGCCGCGGACCGGATCTGGCCTACCGGCCTACCTAAGATATTCGGGATGTTTCTAAAGGACCATTCTTGAAAAGGTACTGGCGAACCATTCGAAGCAAGAGACAAGACCGCAAGAGTAAAGTTGCATTTTCCAATTTGCAGATGGTTAAGCAATTTGCAATATTGGACGGAGCGCGTCGCCGGCCAGCATGTACAGATGTGTGCAAGAAGCCTGTGATCACCTGCGTGTATGCATCCGCAAGTGTGCAACGGTGATTTACCAAGGTGCAGGTGGTTTGCTTGAAAATATCCCATGGGCTATCTTGACAGCAGAAAAGAAGTAATTGACATCACGACAAACGGACCCTTGTACAAGATTCCTGAAATCATCTCCAAGTTATCTATGACTTGGAGAGCTTGAGTTCTTTCCGTTGGAACCCTCAAAAAAGGCCTTGCGTCTTTCTTCAGTGCCGATCCGCCTCCTGCATCCACCCCGGGCAGGTGTGCCAAGGCCATCGCAGCCACGCAGCTTGCAAGCAAAAGCAGAAACCAGAAGCACTCAGAAGCAGCCACGTTCCATCATGTTCCATTGTTCAGCTCTTTCTCTCGGAGGGAGAGGCGTTTGGTCATCAAGTGTGCCCGGAGTTAGTGTTTGGAGGGAAATCTGAGCACAGGTACCTGCAAAATCAACTGGGAATCAATGCACGATGACGTGGTGGTGAATTTGATGTCTCCAGCATCTAATCTGAAAGCGGATGCCCATGTTTTGCAGTTGCAGACAGGCGACATTGCATCTTAAACATCTAGTGGCAGAATGTAGTGCATTTTGATGCCTTTTTGCGAAGGCATGGTGCGCCGATTGTGGGACATTGCTTGTAGGCGTCCTGCAGCAGTCTCTTCAGTTACTTGCTTGCACTGGCAGCTAGCACCGACTATCTAGTAGCTGCCACAGTGCAGCTCAGTGAATTGTAAGTGGCGATCAGGTCAGGATGTGGTTAAGGATGTGAACAGTCACGGCAAGCAACGACAAAAAGGGGCTGTTTTGACTTCAGAAGGGGTGGCCATGGGGCCTGGGTTTTGGTTTTCCATAAATGTTCATAAATATTAGGTAAATGCATCAGTGCCACAATCAAAACCAAAAAACACTGATAAATATGCATAAAGGATAAAAAAACACATAAGAAAAAAACAAAAAGAACCAAAAACCATGGGAAAACAAACAAACTAAAAACACAATTCTGGGAGACTCTTGGCTGGACCCCCCAAAATTTGGGAAAACCAAAAAAACCAAAAAAAAACAAAAAAAAACAATTCTCAGAGACTCTTGGCTGGACCCCCCAAAATCAGAAAAACCAAAAAAAAAAAAACCTTGGGAAAACCAAAAAAAACAAAAAAAACAAAAAACCCAATTCTCAGAGACTCTTGGCTGGACCCCCTCTTCCTCAAGACTTCCCCAGAATTGTTTTTTTTGTTTTTTTTGTTTTTTTTGGTTTCCCCAAGGTTTTTTGGTTTTCTGATTCTTCTGATTTTGGGGGGTCCAAGCAAGAGTCTCTCAGAATTGTTTTTGTGTTTTTTGTGTTTTCTCAAGGTTTTTTGGTTTAGCATCTGAACTTACTTCTCACCTCAAGGCATCTGTTCTTTTTGCTTACGTCTGAAACCGTCTGAGCTCAACACTTCCTTCGTCCTTGTCCAAATCTCCATATACAAGTCTGAGTGCATTAACTGCTGACTGGTATCAATGCGGTTGCCACTTGCATTTCCAAACAGCTTGACATGCAGTTGCGAGGACACTCTGTCCTTTACATGAAACGGTTGGAAATCTTTGCGAGCGTAATTCTGTGCTTATAGCTCAAGCGTTTACATCTTATTCTGGCGAACTTCTAATTTTAATTCTAATTCCTTTCTAATTCAAATCTCATCTAATTTCAATTAGGCTATAGTTATAGTTCAATACAAGTTTATTAAAATTCGGTTTTACTTCAGTTTTATCTTAGCTCTAACTCAAATCCAATTTAATTCTACCTAATTCTATTCTAGCTCTAGTCTATTTAGTTTAAGAAAACACATGCTACAAAACCCCGTGTTTTACAGTATTTTTTGCTCTGGAAGTGCTGGGAACAAGACTAAAACTCTTTTTTGAAGTAAATAGTTAGATTTATTTCTTGTCAGTAATCACTGGAGATAATATATACATATTAAACATGTTTTATGTACAAGCTTCTAATTCAAGAGCTTCCCTCTAGATCTCTGGGGATGATCAATTCTACAATAAAACTATATATAAGCTTTCCTTTCAAAAGCTTTCCTCTGGATCTCTGGAAATGGTCATGTCAATTGAAACATGCTATATATCAATAAATAAGTCTTTCTTTCAAGAGCTTTCCTTTCATGAAAACACATATAGGGATATCTACTTTCCCAGAGATCCTGAGGAAAGCTTTGAAAATGCAAGCTCTTGCCCGCAGAAATCTAGAAGAAAGCTTTTAACATACAAGGTTTCTATATGGTTGTTTGAATCTAAACATGATTATCTGCAGAGATCTATAAAGAATCTTTTATAACATAAAAGAGTCTATACACAATCTTTCCAAATCTAAACATGATTATAAGCAGAGATCTAGAGGACAATTGTTAAAATAGCCACTTTTATGGCATGTTTCTTTTCTAATTATCTTGTTCCAAACCATCTGAATGACTGATTGCTGCTTCCAAACCATAATATATTTGTTCATATAGAGTGAGAGCAAGAATAGATATGTGTGTTTATATGGAGAGGGGCTGCCACTAAAGCATGTACCTAAAATTTTAGGGAAAACCAAAACCCAGGCCCCATGACCACCCGCTCTCTTTGACTTTCTCTTGCAAAGCAAGGTTTGGGCAGCTGCCGGAGCGGATTTGTGAATGATAATGACCAGAACCTGCCCCCTTAGAAGTGTGAGGTCCCATTCTCCTCCTCACCTGCCCGCTTCATGGAAGACATGTGAGGTAACATG